GCGCAACTCTTATCCAACGACCGTCAATGGTGTATCATTGGTCCCTTGTTTTTCACCGAATCGAGTGGGGCTGCACCGTTGGTGGAACCGCAGAAGGTTGGTTTCTCGGCTGGGATCTTTTGGTGTTCAAGTTTCTGGGAGCTGTTGCAACTGGGCTAGCGCGTTTAGGCAGTCGGGTAAGCCACAGATCAGGAGCTCCGAACTACTTTCAGGTCCTTGAAGACGACGAGATAGTCGACCAAATAAAGCGGTTTCTACCTTAACAAACCTGTACGGCAGAACACTGCAAAACGTTATGCTTTCACTTATCGCCGCAGAAACGAAGAGGCAAGGGAGATTGTGTATGCTAACTTTCATGATAGATGTCCTGTCGAAATAAAGAGTTATTCGATTATGCGTACAAAGTGGAGTATGGCAGATGTCTCATTTGAGAGATTATGTAGCACTAGACCTGCGATTGAAGGGCAATCTATTGTTGAAAAAGTAATGGCGAAAGTCCTTCATTCGAGCAATCCTATCCACCTTGCCCTTCACAAGATTAGGATTTTCCTGAAACTGCTCAATGCGAACTGTAAGAAAGTGTGCAGACCAAAAGGAGAAATCTTGTCTTGATGTGTAATTGGGACCATCCCGTGGCAGAAGAGTTTCTAAGAAACGCGTCCTTCACAAGAGGCAAAAATATGGAACAAAACTTGTTAACCCTTTGACGACAACGCGGCTCAACCGCGGGTTCTGACCGCGTGGGACAGTGTGGCCCAACGCTGAGTCGCACTCTTTTCAAGGGTTAATTTTTTTGGTTAATCTTTTTTTGGGGTATTTATTGAATTCACCATCTTCAAATAATACTATACAAGAAGTGGGTCGAAAAATGCAATTTTAATTTCAACAAGCTTCTCACGAATTCTATCATTCTGCTGAAAATCGCATTTTTTCGTACATTTTTTGGAAACAATCGATGCAAAAATGACTTTTACATATACTGCATCTAGAATTGACTCATCTTGTGTTGCTGGAAGCGTAAACGCGCCCGTACTCTTGAGGTAACTGTTTGTAACAACCTATACATCTCTTGCGAACTTCCGTTTTCCTTCTAAGCAATTCTTCCAGATTGAGACTCGTTGTTGGCACGCAGACTTTCTCACTTTCCAGAAGTGATTCAATAGCAATCATTTTGAAATCATCAGGCCTTATTTTCTCTACCACGTCACTGTACAGTTTCCAGGAATTTGCCAATGCTTTCTGTGTCATTAGATGGGAGAAAATCCTGAGATACCACTTAGTAGTTCTCCTTACAAATGGAGTATATGCAGATATTTGGTCGATTTGATCGACAAATCCCATAACTTTGTTGTAATCTTCGATGGATTGCGGTTTTCCATTACAAGTCATGGACCCATCATGTCTCGTGGAAATCATGAACAAATCGCATTTATCCTTCCACTTCAAAACCAATACTCCGTTCTGATTTTGCTGATAGTACGTTTTCCTTCTATTCAACTTCCTGTATTTGACTTTTGGGTACTCCTTTCCAATTTTTTCTCAAAGTCCCGAACAAGTGAGTGCTGCGTTTGAATAAGCTATTAGCCAGAGGTACCCTTGAATACTAGTTATTGGTACAGAGATTCTACCTTGATCCAAAATACCCAGTAGCTGTATCCGTGGTCATTAATTCCATGACCACGGATACAGCTACTGGGTCCTTACTTGAAGGCTGTCTCCCTGTGTAGAACTTGGTCCTCCACATGTAACCACCTTTGCAAAATAGTTTGAAGAGCTTATTTCCATATTTGTTCCTCTGGAAAGGACGAATTGCTTGAAAGCTATTCTGCCTAGGAATGGCACTAATGACTCATCGATGCAACCCCTTTTCCAGATCTGTAGGCTTTCTCGCAGCTCGCGTTGAACAAATCCAGGAAACTATTTATCTTGTAAAGCCTGATGCCATCGGATTAGTGTCGGCAAAGTGAAGAGGATTCAATGACTGCTCGAGTCAAGTTCTTGGCATCACTTTGCCAGCAATCGAGTGTCCATCAATAGCAGGTCTGGTACTCCAATAATCTGTCAGCTTCGACATCTGCTCTACTACCATTTGAATGCATAATCCCATGAATCTTTTGACTACGACAGGACAAGTATCTTGGAAATTCGAACCTTTTGCTCTCCTGTCTATTCGTTCCTCCGACATTGAGGAAGAGCATTTCCCCGTTCAAGTATAGCTCGTAGGAGTCAATCGGTTCGTGACAACTTTGTACACAATCATACGGACCAACTTGTTGGGTGAATACGAAGTCATCATAAAGTTCTGCATAGCTAATCCATTCGTCTTCACTCTAGCTGCCTGATATTGATAACGTCTCACTTTCCGCATCAGATACACTATCATAGGTAGTACTAGGGCGTTATTGCGGAAAGAATTCTTTCTCAAAGTCCTCTAAATCATCATCGGACTCGACTAATAGTTTTTTCAAAACCATTCTCCAATTCGTCTACAGCGGGTTGATCAATTCTTCACTCCTAAAGCCATAGTAGTGGACAGCGCGACCCAACGTAGTGCCGCGGAAACGGAAAGCTTCAAAACGCCCCTGCCCGCTCGCCGGATCCGCAAAGAGGCGCACCGTCGTCAACGGGTTAAGCTATTCTGTGAAGGTGTTTCACATGGAGGACTAAGATCTACGCCAAGAGGCGCCCATAAGGAAGGATACAACAGGTGTATCTGCTTTTACGAGATGCGCCTACGTGGAACAAATGGGCCGACTCTTGAATCAAGGAGCACATCTCTGTACCGATTACTAGTACTCGAGCGTAATTCAGGGAAACTGCTAGTTGAAAAGTAACACCTACTTGTTCTGGACTCAATAAAAGCCGGAAGAACACCAATAAAAGTCAAGAATTGGATGTTGATAAGAGGTTAGATTCTCGAAAAGTTGTTACGAACAACTATCTCGATACTACGGGTATTTATGCCCCAATTAGTAACAGGCGAGTCAATACTATGTGCATTAGATCGAAGAGCCGCATTGCATCGACTATTCCGAAGAATGCACAAAATATGTGTTTTACATGAAGGACTGAGTTTACTACTAGTTCTCAGGAGTTAACAATGTTTTTCTGAGCCCACTTTGTACAGTATAATTTGGAGATTGCAAACCCATTAAACACAAAACGTCAAGAAAAACGAATAACTAAAAAAAGCAGCCAATGAGAAGGGTAGGGCTCGTCGTTGAGCCGCGTTGTCCTACGCGACCAAAGAAGCGCGGCACACTTGTGCCGCGCTGTCGTCAAAGGGTTAATAAGGATCCGCGAAATGCAGAGAAGCCAACTACGTTGGAAAGAGCTGATAATAAAATTCCGTCATAATCCTCCCAGGCGACCTAGGTTCAGGAAGTTTTCGATAGCAACCTCATAAACGAGTTATACCTCATGTACGCACGAACTTTTAAGAAAAAGACACTGGTGAGAGTTTGCACGGAAGACGGATGGCTCGCTTTTACACACCTGTAAATTACGTGAATCGAGTTGGGAAGTGTTTGATTTCACTATTTCGCAAACCACAGAATCCTCAGTTGTGTAGAGCAAATGTTAGCGCACGATACCCCAACCATTAAATAATAAGTCTGAATAAAATTACAAACGGTATCATCGTAAGTGGCATTTACACTAAGGTTAATATCTGCGCTTTTTTTCTCCGGTCTCTGGTTAAGTATATTTCCATGCTAAATATGTTTTAATTTTCTGACCAGGAAAGGGTTTCAAATTCCCATGGAGCTCTGAATAAATATCTAGGTATACTTGACTTGGAAATTTATTAAGAAATA